AATAGCTAACTGTGATTCAGTGACTTTCACCTATTTTGCTTTCAGTTTTCTCTAATTGCCTTTGATCTCCCTGGGGCTTTGAAGCCTAAAAAAACCATATAATACTTACCTAATTACCAGAGCTCTTGCATCTCTGAAAGATTCCATCAAGGATGCTGCTTTCTGGTTCCTGCATTCAGCTGAGGGGCTGTCCCCAGATGCTTTTGGGTGTCTCACAGAGCCACAGTCCCACTGCCAATAGGTGCCACTGTTGCCCTGCACGTCTGAGCCGTCAGTGCCCTTCACTTGAAAATCCAACCTTGAAAACGCAAATCTCAATCAGAGCGACTAAAATGTTGCAGAGGTAAAACTCCATCCAGACCACGGCCCGTGCCAAGACTGTGGTATATGCTTTATCTGCTCCTAAAAATAATTATAATATTGCTAAACTTGGGCAAAAATGAATTGCATTCAATTAATTCCAGATATATTGAATAAGCCTTTAGCTTGCTGCAGGTTTATTGGTGAGCCTCAGACCAAGCTGAGCTTTGCAGATCTGTGCTCTGGGCCAAATGTGATTTAAATGCAGAAGTTGCATATTGGAGCAATAAGAATTTGGACTTGTACCAGCACTTCTTACATAGGAGCAAAGTCTCAGGGTGCCTATCCAGCAGTGGAAAGCCCCCCCAGAGCTATTTTTTTCCAGGTTTGCTCTCTGGAAATGCAAGGTCAGCTAATGTATTTTGCTTTGCAGCTTATCTGCCATTAAGTGCTTTCCCCATGTAAAGCCAAGGGTAATCAAGGTCTGCCTGCTTCCTGCATGGGGAGGAACCTTGCTTCACCTTGTCCTTGGATGTGCAGCTGTTTCTGTGTTTGCTTTATTCTTAGATATTTCAGACATACTACGGAATAACACAAGGTTCTTTTCTGCTTTTTCTTCAAAGAAACACATAGCAAGCTGTGTAGAAATAAAAAAAAAAAAAGAAAAAAAGAAAAAGAAAACAGAGGGCAAAGCAATTAAGAGTTTTATGTCCTTTCAAGTCCCATCCCACTTGTTTTGTGTTTTGGCTTTGTTGTTTTTTTCACTGCAACTATTTATTGACTAAAAACCAAGAGATGGAAAATCTGTTTTCAGTGATTTAATACCTTCTGAAATAGTCCTGGCTACCTGCAGGTCAGGATGTAACCCAGAACTTGTTCTAACTGGTCTAAAGCTGTGTGCCTGGATAACCTAATTCTCATTCCTTCTGCATGGAGCAGCTCCCACAAGCACCAAGCTATATTAAGCAGTGCTTAAGATCACCCTAAGCAGTTTACACAGGGGCATCCCTGGCTTCTCTGGCTCTCACCAGTTGTCTGTGGGTTGCAGATATTCTGCTCCTCTTCAAAGTCCAGGATTCTACCAACATTTGGGGGAAGATATCCCTGGTGATGAGTTTTAGGTGGCTGTGTCAGCTGACAAGTAGACAAAGCAGAAATCGTTGGCTTTTCACAGGAAATGGAGCAGACACTGGACATCACTCAACTTCTTTCTAGTGCAGTTCTTCATCAGGTCTTCAAGACAACCCTAGAAAGTGGGTTATTCCAAGACAAGATTAAATGTTAGAAATTATATAATTAAATTTTTGATCCAGGTGTTTTTACTCCACAGTTGTCATAGGGAATGTTTGTACTATTTTGACAGCAGATTAAGGACAAAATGGATCTTTTTGTTCCCAGGACATGTGTGTCCACCCTCTGGGTGGAAGAGAAAATCGCTGTTAGATGCTGACAGATGAAGTCATGTTATCAATCAAGAGTCCTGGCTCTTCCAAGTCTCTCTGGTAGATATTTGAAAAGTTAGCACAGGTAACCTTTTACTTAAAAACTCAGAAAGATAATAATTATCCATGAATTCTCCTGCTAGTTGTATGCCACAGCTTGTTTTCAGCTGATACTGGATAGGGGAGAGAAATCTGTTCATTGACACTCTCCTTCAGTGCTTCCTGTGGTGAATAAGGATTGTTGTATGAATAACATTTCCACTTTATTAATCTAAAAAATAAGGTACTGCCTGGGTTAGAAAGTCACCACAACATCCATTTCCAGAATTTAAACAGGAGGTTCCTGTCTCTAAATCTATATATTGACCAGTGCACCATGTTCCATTTCATTGAATTAACAATGCCAAGAACTACCAAGAATAGGGAAATCTGATTTCTGAGGAATGCAGGCAAACTTGCACTCCAGCTGTGGAGGGGAGGCAGCACAGGCTGTAGCTGTGTCTGTTGCAGTTCTCAGCTCACTCTGACACTAAATTTTGGCTTCTTGCTTCCTTGTGACAGATGAAAAGTGCTGCGGTGGCAGGCCCCAAAATGAGATGCACACGATGCTGTTGTGCACAGCATCCAGATGGCTTAGTGTGGTTTTGAGGCAGTCTGTATTTCTGCCACTGATATCACACACCTCTGTCAGTCTTTGTGTTACTTATCATTTAAACCCTGAAAATCAGGGCATTTGCATTTCAAGTGAATTCCCACTTAAGCAACTGCATCCGTACGTCATGAGCTCTGATCAGTCTGATTTCAACACTTGCATCATGGATTTGCAGACACATTTAAGAAGGCTGAAAATGAAAAGCTGATTGCCTTGTGCTGCTTAAGGGTTTCATGCAGCAGCATTGCATATCCAGCCTTCCAGCTGCCTGTCTATAGAGAATGATAGCAATACTTGGGGGTGCAGAGGCACCTTGGTGGAAGGGACGTTCCAGTAGATGATGCTTGTGGGGAAAAGTATTGTAAAAGAGCTGGGCTTTATTTAAGTGCGGTTTGTCTATATGAATTGGAGGTGTGCTGATTAAAATAATCCTATTTTACCAGCAAGCTGCTATTAGAGCCCAGGGAATGCCCTGAAGACTGAAGACACAATACCCAGTCCCAGGTGGGAGTAACACACTGGTTTTCTTCATGCCTTCGTCATCCCCAAGGCACAGACTGGGAAACATCCAGGGAGTCCCAAGCAGTGTGTGCTGGTTGCCTGCCTCAGGAAGGATTCCCACTGGAATCCAAACTACAGGACACCCCTGGGGCCTCAGAATGGCCACAGAGATACAGTGCCTTCCTTTACACGTACAGTTGTTTAAGGATATATAAAATAGGATTTAAGTATTAGTCACAGATCATCACTGCCTGGAATGTTGGCACACACAGCCCCACACGATGGAATTTTCTGCTCCTTACATCAAATTTCCCCATCGTGGTTCTCCTTAGTGTTTGCTCTGTGAGCTGGGAAGCAGATAAAGCTGTTTTGTATGAGATGCTGCTGAGTTTATAAAAGTGAGAGATACACAACACTCAGCATTGCTGAGGCAGCCCAGTAATCACAGCAGCTCTGTCCCAGTGCTCCTTTCTTCACCTACACAAGTGGGTTTTTTTGGGAAGAAGTCCATGTTCTTTGCCTCAGCTGGGAAAGTCAGCCACTGTAAAATTTTAGATTGGTTCCTTAGTGTAAATAAAATATATTGTATTGCATTTGAAAATTTATCTGTGCTTTGGTTAATTTGCTTAAACATCTTCACCTGCCATGGGAACTAACATCTGATAAGGATGAATGAACCATTTCTCTCCCCTCTTTGCTCTATTTCTGCTGCAGCAGACTGCAACACAGTCTGGCATTTGGTTCCAGGAAAAAGATCTAAAGGAAGCAATTTTAGCAGAGTCAGAAGGATCTGCTTGAACAGCTCTAATATTGAACCTAACTGGCATGTTCTGACAAAGTTAAAAGTCTAATGACAAAATTTTGCTGAGCTCTTAAACAGGGTATGAAATCTATCGAGCAGCTCTGCTAGCAAAGATGCTCATGTTTCTACAAGCAAATGAGACCAATATCCAGATTATTAAAGATCCTCCAAGTCATAGTAAGTATTAAATTCTGGAAGGATTAGTGAACTCTCTCTTGCATGACGTTGGTAAATATTATTGGCTATATTGCTGTATAGTTGTGTTTAAGTGGTACAGCAGCCTCAAGGGAGTGCCCTAAGTGCTATTTTTAATTGGCCAATATAATATCCAGTATAAATCCATATAATAACCCCTCAATGCAACCAGTGCTTGGGCATTGCTTCTGCCCTGGCTTAAGGAGAGGAAGGGCAGGTCATGAACAGAATGAATACAGGCCAAGAAAGATGCTTATCCTTCTCCCTCTTATTACTCTCGTGAGCTGAGGCTGGACTCCAGCTGACAGCTACAGCCCTGTGCTTCCCCACACCACAGGTTCTATTCCTGCCCTCACCTTCCTGACCTTCCCTTTCTTTCTCTCCTGATCTTTCCCTTGTCCTCTTCTCCACTCAGTTTCCAAGGACAGCTGTAGTACAGTATTTGGGTCCAATTTTCTACCAATCCTGCCCATCTTTTTGTGATGCAATCATATTTGTTTGTCCCACCAGTACTCCCCTCCCTGGCTGATGGAACTGTCCTTCAAGTTATGTGAGTGAAACATCACCCAGTAGTCCAGTGCTAAAACTGGGACAGAAAGTGGCTCCAGTCCTGCCTGTGTGCTGAGAAACACGGGTGATGTTTGCCATGGAACCATTTGTTTGTTGTGCCCACAGTGACAGAGACCATGTTTGACACTGCATCATAATTACTTACTGTCATCATATTTATTATTTTATTGTCAGTGGTTCATAATGCACTAAAGTCAGCTGGGTTTTATTCTCACACCACACATACCTGCTAACACACAGTTTCTCTTCACACAGATATGTTTTATTTTAAGCAGCTGGAACAAACCAGGATGTCCATTCAAAGAATTGTTCTTTACTAACAGAGCTAAAGATAAGGGCTTGCAGCATGGTACAAGCTTGTATAAGGTTTGCATATTCCATGTTCCAACTAATAGCTGGAATGTGGTTCTGATGACCCTTGTTTATCATTGTTTAATGGCTGCCCCTGATTCACTAACCATAACCTGATATTAAATATCCTGAAAAGATATTTTCCTAGGTTGAGGCATGAACAGACTCATGGAATCTAAGATGTTTACTATAAGCTTTTTAGGAAGTTAACAACACTGTCCAATCCCCTTTTCCCAGATGGAAATGAGAAGCCACAATAATCATATAGGCTTATGATTCCATGGAATCCATCCTTGAGGTGGTACCAGGTCACTGGAACCCCGTTGTCCTCCAGCCTCTTCTTGTACAACAAGCCATCGTCCCGCAGCACGTCGTACTCACAGGTCAGGATGAAAGATTCTGGCAGCTGGTGAACGACAGAGTCTTCAGCCAGCAGTGGGCACAGGTTGGGCTCACAGAATCTCTTCACTGTCTCATAAACTTCAGCTATAAAATCAGTGGGCCTAAGTGGCTTCACACCTCTGACCTTAAATTCCTCGGGGATGTTGTCTGGACTCACCCACTTCTTATACTTCAGCCTCATGTCTGGAGGAATATGAGAGCCCTCCAAGACCTCTTGCATGTGCAGTGCATCCCCATTGAGGTACAGCAAAGCAAAGAAAGCAGCACGTTCCCGGAATAGCAGAGGGACTCCTCGATTTTGATGATAGGATGGTAAATTGAAGTCCAGTGCCTGAAGGCCTGGGTAGATGAGGATCTGAGCACGGAGTCTGGGGAGGTCTGACCTGCCTGCCAGGGTCTGGCTCACAGCAGCTGCCAGGTTGCCCCCAGCACTGTCCCCACAGACAGTGACCCGGGCAGGATCCACGCCGTAGTGCTGCAGGTGCTGCAGGAAGTGCAGGCTGGCGCTCAGACAGTCTTCGTACGCAGCGGGGTATTTGTGCTCGGGGGCTAAACGGTACCTGGGACACACACACACGAGGAGGAAATGTCAGTAGTAATAACCAGGAAATGGTATCATATGCTGTTCTTCAGCACTACCACTTCTGGGGTGGTTTGGTTCTAGGTTAGGATCTCCAGTGCCTCCAAACAGCTGCTTCTCCATTTGGGATTGTAGATAAGCTGTAAATGGTGAGTTCAGTCACAAGGACTCACTGAAGTAGGATTGTTGCTGATTAATGATCTGAACAAGGAATTGTACAGCTCTTAGTGATGGTGAAAACTCCCTCTGGTACTCCTGACAAGAGTATTTAATAATTTTGTGCCTCTGCTCGTGTAAAATGGGAATATTTCAGTGTGACTATTTTCTTTTCCTAGAGTTCCCAATTGCTTGGAGCATCTTATTATACGTCCATATGTTCAGCATAAGGAAGACTTTTTTCACCTAAGTTTTTTATTGGCTTTTATAGACTTCCTTAGTGTGCCAAATATTTCCATTTGTATATTTTCAGAGTATCTCTGGGCATGAATAGTTAAGGGCTGTGAAATCTCCATTATCACTATTTTTCTCTTTATGGACTTGACTGAATCCCATAGAAATTCCTGTGCCAAAAAAGAACATCTCCAAAAACAGCACAACTCTGCTGTGGTTCCACAGCAATACTAATCTCCCAACTACAGAACTGGGTAGTGTTCACTTACTGCACAGACACAACCACCGAGTCACTCTCCCTGGAGAGGTAGCGACACACCTTCTCATAGGTATCTGCAAAAGAAGTATTGTTGTTAGTGCTTTGCTATTGCCCTCAGCTTTCAGACAACCTAAGGAATTCCAGAAAGGCTTCAGACTTCATCCCAAATCACATGCTGAAACCACATCTTATTTCAATCTTCTAAAAAGATCAGAATATTCTTTCTACACTACTACAGCTCCTCCAGGAAGTATCTTACCAAGGCTCCCGAATACCCAGCCTCCTCCATGAAAGAAAAGGATGCCTCTCCTTGGCCCATCCGAGGTAGCTTTAGGCTGATAAACCCTCACAGGTACTTTGTTAAACTGCAGATCCTGGATAAAGAGCTTTGGATCCAACCCTAGTTTCCGTCCCTGTCGCACGTATCGGCCAAAAGTGATTTGGCTGCAAAGCCCAGTCTTCTCCAAAATCCTTCCCTGTTAAAGGTAAAAGACATTAAGGCACCATTAACAGTTTGGTGTTAGCCAGGGTATAAAAACTCTGCTTTGTACTTACATCAAACTTATTTGGGGGAAATTTTAAAGAAACACAGAACTCTGATCTGGAAATGAAACAATTTTCCCAAGTTCTCACATCCTGCAGCCTGTAGAAAAATTTACTTGCAGTACTCAAATTCAATGTCATTTTAATGTCATATCAGAAATTTTATAGCGATCAGCCAAACCGATTATCCTGGAGTGCGTATTTTAAACATCAGCATTGTCCTGCACACATTTGTGGTCATTCTTTTTTTCACTTATACTTGATAACAACAATGAAATACCATATGTAGACACAAGTCTTCATTGCTGAAACTAATATTCATGAATTAGACCATAAAACTCAGTGAATTTGCAAATCTAAAGTAGCGAGCTGTGTTGAGTAAGTTAGTTACTGCTTTTTATTTGCACAACAGATCTACTGAGATAAATGAAGTTGCTTCCTTTCCCCATGCTCTTGCAAGCTAGAATATAAATCTGATGTAATAAGTGAACAAAAAAGAAGCAGAGTTCCAAACAGTTACCATTCACTGGCTGAACAAGATCCTTCTTTTTAATGCCCAGTGAACCTGACTTGTCACCTGCTAGTGAGGCTCAGGACTGCTGGGCAGCTTTGTCAGTAAATTTAAAGAGGATGTAAATGGTTTAAGAATCTGTGTGGATGAAAACAAAGTCTTTGTGATAGCAGCGGTGATGTGTGTGGCTAAAGGAGTGACAAAACCAAAGACTTTAAGAAATTCAAAGACAGCAAGTAACAGAGGCAGAGCTGAGGAGGGTTCTAATGCCGTTTATGCAACACTGCCAAGGGGAGTCCAGGGATTAAGTAAAGCAGCCCTAACCGGATTGTGTGCCATAAATGTCAGCCGTGGCAGGAGCAGCTGAAGGGCTGCAGCTTTCCCTGTGCAAGGTGATTTCACCTGAAGGTGCGGGCAGTTATCAGGCGAAACACCAGCCCGGCCCCGATTCTGAGGCTGCCATCGAGCCGGTCGCAGTCTCCGCTAACACGTCCCAGCACGTTCCTGACCCGGCAACGGGGTTTGCCTGGGACAGGGGCAGTGTTCCCTGCAGCATCCCGGCCGGGGGGTGCCCGGGGCAGTGTCCGCACCAGGGTGTCCGGGACAGCATCCTCCACCGGGGGATGCTCGGGACAGCGTCTTCCACCGGGGGATGCTCGGTCAGTGTTTGGGCCGGCGGCGCCGGGGGTGCAGTGTCCGGATCGGGGGTGCCCTTGCAGTGTCCGGATCGGGGGGTACCGCGGGGCAGAATCGCAGGTGTTCCCCGCATCCCCTCCCCGTGATGCGGCACCGCCAGCATCCCACGGGGACAGCGGGGACACGCGGCTCCTGCCCCCAGCTCCCCTTGTTTTTACAACCGCTGCCCACCCGCCCCCAGCCCGCGGGTCCCCCCGCTCGCCCCTCGCCCCCCGCTCCGGCACTCACCAGCGCGGCGGTGCCGAGCAGCACGGTCAGCACCAGGCGCAGCTTGGCCGGCTGGTTCACCCCGGGCGGGATGTCATAGCCGGGCAGGCCGAGCAGCACCGCGGCCGCCGCCAGCGCCGCCAGGGGCAGGAGCAGCAGCAGCAGCGCGGGCAGCAGCGCCATGGCCCGGCCGCGGCCCTGCGGGGCTCCCGCAGCAGCGCTCGGCAGAGCCGCGGCCCCGTCACGGGCCGAGTGCGGCCGCTCCGCAAAGCCGGCGCAGGGGTCATGGTGCGGGCGGCCGGGGGGAGCCGCGCGGAGCGGCCGGAGGCGCCGGCCGGGTAATCTTGGTTCAAGGAGGCCCGGCGTGACCTGCGCGCGGTACCGGGGAACGGACGGGCCCGGCGCCGCCTCCCGCCGCCCCGGCTGGCACGGCCCCCGCGCCCCCGGCCGGATCACCGCGGGTCTCTGCCTCCACGGAGGGACGCTTCGGCAAGGGCTGCCTGCCCTTGCGCACGGAAATCTAAGGGAAGGCAGCGTCTGTTTTTGTGAAAAGTTCTGTTCTTCTCAGCCCTATAGGATTCCCCCCCCCCCCCTTTTTTTTTTTCCTGGGGATTTCCTTAGGAAGAGGAGCAATGGGCATAAACTAAAACGCAAGTTTCACCTCAATACGCAGAAGAACTTCTTTACGTTGAGGGTGACAGAGCACTGGGACAGTGCCCAGGAAGGGTGTGGCGTTTCCCTCTCTGGAAGACATTCCAAGCACACCTGGATGTGTTCCTGCATCACCTGCTCCAGGTGACCCTGCCTTGGCAGGGATTGCACTGGATGATCTCCAGAGATCACTCCCAACCCTAGCAATTCTGGGATTTCCATGTCCTCAGTCTGCCTGTTCTGAGTGTGCTCGCTGCTGTTCTTCCTTGCTTTCCTCAGCAGGGTGTAATGAAGCATCATATCAGGGAAACACAGTCTCATCCTGTAAATAAAACTCAGGCCATGGAGAAAGCACAAACTGACAGATTCTAGCACAGAATCACAGCAGAGATTCTGCAAAAGTTAATACTGGGGGACACCCTTTGGAAGAACATGAAAACATTTTGCTTCATATTCCCTCTTTAAGCGGTACCTTTCAGTACACACAGATGAAGAGCCCACTTCACTGATCCTTCCTGCCTTTCTAAAACCTGATGTCAGCACTTCCTCTCAACACTATGCCTGCCCTCGGTGGGCATAGTAGAGACTTCCCAAAATTAAAAAGGATTTTGTAGAGCTACAATTATTTCAAAATCAGAGCAGCCCTTACTTGCCTCCAGCTAGGTGTCCACCATCAACTCTGGCCCTGCACTGCTGCTTTTGTAGCCATGGAATCTCAATCTCCTCACTGAGACCTTGATCTTTGTTTCTCCAGAGTTTTCTCTCCATCTCACTCTCTACCTACCTTATACTTTTTAGCTGACTTAAATCATGCTTTGGAGCTTATCAGATAGACATCACGAATAAGCTGGCTGTATTGAGGAACATTTAATCCAAATCATTCCACATAGATTATTTGTATAGAAGTAAATAATTTAGTAATTAAAGATAAGGAACCAATCAGATGCCAATTTTTGAAAAAAACACAGTACCCAGAAAAATTGTAATGATTGAATTGTCAGGAGTCTCATAAAGAAAAGATCTGTGTTAATTTGAAGTTCATGGATATCAGAATTAGTATTTTAAGCATCAAAACGTGTCACATTCTTGCTGACCAGCACTACCTGAGGTGTGAGAAGCTAAGCAGAGATATTAGTGGGAGAAGCATACTGAGGGAGAATTCTTTTTACAGGCCTTTTATAAATGCAACAACCCTGTCCAATCCCCTCTTCCCAGACGGAAATGACAAACCACGATAATCAAATAGGTTTACAATTCCATGGAATCCATCCTTGAGGTGGTACCAGGTCACTGGAACCCCGTTGTCCTCCAGCCTCTTCTTGTACAACAAGCCATCGTCCCGCAGCACGTCGTACTCACAGGTCAGGATGAAAGATTCTGGCAGCTGCTGAATAACTGTGTCTTCAGCCAGCAGTGGGCACAGGGTGGGCTCACAGAATCTCTTCATTGTCTCATAAACTTCAGGCTGGAATTCACAGGGCTTATGTGGTTTGTAGCCTCTGACCTTAAATTCCTCAGGGATGTTGTCTGGACTCACCCACTTTTTATACTTCAGCCTCATGTCTGGAGGAACATGAGCACCCTCCAAGACCTCTTCCAGATTTGATGCGTTCCCTTGAAAGTACTGCAGAGAATAATAAGCAGCACGTTCCCGGAATAGCAGAGGGACTCCCCGGTTTTGTTGGTAGGATGGTAAATTGAAGTCCAGTGCCTGAAGGCCTGGGTAGATGAGGATCTGAGCACGGAGTCTGGGGAGGTCTGACCTGCCTGCCAGGGTCTGGCTCACAGCAGCTGCCAGGTTGCCCCCAGCACTGTCCCCACAGACAGTGACCCGGGCAGGATCCACGCCGTAGTGCTGCAGGTGCTGCAGGAAGTGCAGGCTGGCGCTCAGACAGTCTTCGTACGCAGCGGGGTATTTGTGCTCGGGGGCTAAACGGTACCTGGGACACACACAGAAACAGTAAAAGTAACAGAAGGAAATATCATAAGTCTAAATACAAAATTTCTACAGCACCCTGGTTTTTCCTTGGAGGTTTGGAGTGTTGGAGTAATTTTTCCTTCAGAAAAAAAAGCCCATGAAGGCATTTTTATCTATTAAATAGGTATTTGTCCAATGAGTCATCACAGAGAAGTGATAGCCATAGGATGGGGTTGCAAGGACATAGCATAGTTGGGGTTTTCTGAGAGCAGCCCTGATCACAAATTAAGTGATGTAACTTCATTTTTCTCTTCTGGTGTAGACTGCATCTGGGTTGTGTATTAGGTAATTTAATCAATCCACACCTCACCTTTACTTAGGATATTTAACTTTTATAATTACTTTTTCTTTATTTAAATAACTGGGACACTTATTTTTCAGTATCACTAGTATTAGTAGTACTAATTAGTAGCATTATTACTTACTAGCATTTGATTCTTGCTGTTAGAAAGTTCACCAGGTAATTACACTTATTTAAACCAATCACTGAATCGTCACCTTCCCAGTCAGTCTCTTAGTAATTTCTCAACACATTGTGGAACTCTCTTCTGGAAAGCATTCCTTGGTTTTGCATGGTGCCAGCATAGCTCTATGTTGGGAGACACATGGACCTTACAGTGGGCTGTGTCTGCACTGTTAGCTGATGGAGCAGGGAGAGAAATTAAAACAGCCTCCTTGAAATTCTGTCTGGACACCCGGGATTGTGGGAAACTCATAGAAAATGCTGAGTTGGAAGGGACCCATAAGGATCCTGAAGAGGAGCATTCCCACCAGCTGCACATCCCTGCAGTGCTGAGAAGGAACAAGAGGCAAAATTCCTCTCAGGGGCAGCTGGCTGTAACTCACCCCACAGACACCACCAGCGAGTTGCTTTCCTTGGCAATGTACTGGCAGATCTTTTCATGGGAATCTGAAACACATCAAAGGATATTTTACTGCCCACAAATGGTCCAGCTCCCCTCTCCCCTCTCCCCTCTCCCCCTGCCCACCACCTCCCTTGGCAGTGCTGGGTGGGAAAGCCCAGCTGGAGTTCTGCCTTCGAGCAGTTGGAAATTATATAACTTCTCTAATTAATTTTTATTTAATTGTTTTAATGAATCATAACTAGTATATTAATGATAAGTAGTGTGCTAGTCTTAAATCACTTTTAGGCAGGATGTTTCCTTACAGAGCCTGTTATTGTTTGATTGGGAAAATCACTGAAACGTCTAAAAGTTTTCAAACTGAAAGTTCTAAAAGTTTTGCCAAACTAATCTTGATATGCTTCAAAGAACAAGGCCTGGGAGAGGGTGTGTATTGTTGAAATTGGATACAAGAAGGACAGAATTTATGGACTACAAGGACATATTTTGGAAACCAGAATATAAAGAAGCAGCTAACAAAAAACTCAGTATATGTATGTTGGAAAGTCCCTACCAGAGGAAAAACATATCAAAAAGACTAAAGAGGATAGAATACCAATTTATGAAAGAGAATTAAGTAATTAAGTAATAGAACCAATGGGCATTAATTTGTTTACTGAAAGTGTATAAAAAGGTGAAAAAGCCTTTTATCACTGCCTACTATACATAGGCCCCAATTCTGTTGGCCACACACACACTGTGACCATGGCTAAAGCCAGGCCTGGCTAACGCTGTGTCTTAGAGTGAATTTATGATGTTTGTATCCCCTATTGTCTGTTCTGTTAGTGTTAAATATTAAGTTCTGCAACTTTAAAACTAGTTCCAGGAGTAAAGGGGGAAAGAAAAAGTGCAAAGTTTGTTATCAAAGACTGCACTTGCTCCCCCGCTTCCTTCACACAGACTGTGTTGTCTGCAGTAAACTGCAGGACAGAGCTCTTCTTTGCTTGTAGTTAGTTTTTCTAGCTAGCTGAGGCAAAGAAGCTCCCTGGACTGTAGTTTTTTTCCCTTTTTCTTAAAATTCTTCAGACTGCTCAGGACTGAAAACCCAAAAAAGCACCGGGAGCTCACACCTGTGGCCCACCAGGCCTGGCCTGTGCTGTGACATTTCCCAGCGCCAGAGGGACTGAGAACAGCCTGAGTGAGCCTGGTACAACCCACAAAAAAAACTCTTCTAAATTTGTCATCTCTTCGGAGCGGCGAAAACTTTTACTGTTTAGTATTGCTCATTTTTTGTGCTGGGAAGTGCTTTGCCTGTTAAATAAACAGTTTTTCCCCACTTCTCTCCGAAAAAAATATTTCCCCGAACCAGTTGAGGAAAAAAAAAAAAAAAAAAACCTGCTTAAATCTCTTTCGTAAAGAAACCCCATTGAAACGTTTCCTCCCAAATTTTCCCAAAAAAAAAAAAAAAAAAACCTGCTTAAATCTCTTTCGTAAAGAAACCCCATTGAAACGTTTCCTCCCAAATTTTCCCTAAGCCAAGACACGCAGCCGGTGCCGGTGCCGGTGTCCGGGCCGGGCCGTACCGAGCCCGCAGCAGATCCAGCCCCCGCCGTGGAACAGCAGCATGGCGGAGCGCGGGCGGGCGCGGGGCCGGTACAGCCGCACGGGCAACCCCCCGAGCCGCGCGTCCTCCTGCCGCACCCCCGGCACCGGGCCCGGCCTCCAGCCCGAGAACACGAGGCGTCTGACGGCCAGGCTGCTGCACAGCTCCATCTTCTCAAAAATCCTGCCCTGTTGGGAAGAGGGAGGACAGCGGGCGTGAGCTGAGGGGACCGCCCGCAGACAGCCCGGAGGGGGCACCCGGTGAGGGAGGAGCAGGTGAGGAGCGGCTGGTGAGGGGCACCAGGGGAAGGGCAACTGGTGAGGGGTAACTGGTGAGGAGAAAATGGTGAGGGGTAATTGGTGTGGGGTAAAGGGTGAGGGGGACCGGGAGAAGGGCAAGTAGTGAGGGGTAACTGGTGAGGGGCACCAGGGGAAGGGCAACTGGTGAGGGGAAAATGGTGAGAGGAAAATGGCGAGGGGTAATTGGTGTGGGGGACCGGGAGAAGGGCAAGTAGTGAGGGGCAAAGGGTGAGGGGTAACTGGTGAGGGGCACCAGGGGAAGGGCATCTGGTGAGGGGCAGATGGTGAGGGGCACCGGGAAAAGGGCAACTGGTGAGGGGCAAAGGGTGAGGGGTAAAGGGTGAGGGGTAAAGGGTGAGGGACACCTGGAGAAGGGCAAAGGGTGAGGGGCAGATGGTGAGGGGTAAATGGTGAGGGGTAACTGGGAGAAGGGCAAGTAGTGAGAGGCAAAGGTTGAGGGGTAACTGATGAAGGGCAGATGGTGAGGGGTAAATGGTGAGGGGCAAAGGGTGAGGGGTAAATGGTGAAGGGTAAATGGTGAAGGGTAACTGGTGAGGGGCACCAGGAGAAGGGCAGCTGGTGAGGGACACTCATTAAAGCAGCAACTGGTGAGGGGCAATTGGTGATGAGGCTCCTGGTGAGCAAAAGGCAATTGGTGAAGGGGCAGCTGGTGAGGGAGGCTTTGCCAGTGCTCCCAAGTGTCTCTCGTCCCTCTAAGGTTTCTGGGGTTTCTGTTTTTTTTGATTCTTAAAAAGCATCCAGTCTCCCATTACTGGTACTTCCATTACCTAGCCTTCCATGTTACTGGAGAGCCCCAAGAATGGCCTAAAAACATCATGTGTGCTTAGCTAACATGGAAATCAAAGCAATCTCACTTTTTATAAATATTTAATTTTAAATTTAATTAGGAAAGCTCAGCTGATAAAGCTTGGGTTCTTATGGTTGACTTAAGCCTTATGTAATAGGGAAAATCTGACTGACATCTAACAGAAATGATTTTCCAAAAACTGTCCTCTCAAGTCAGCTCCCAGAAGAGAAAAGCCATCATTTAAGCCTCGATGGAGCTGGCAGCATTCTGGTATTTACAAATACAACAAAATTAACATCTAACAAGGTTTCTGGCACAAGCCATAGCAGAGTTACTCACCAGAGTAGATGTAACAATCAAAGCAGCAACAATAAGTCGGAGTTTTCCAGGATTGTTCACTCCAGGAGGGATGCTGCAATTGGCGTACTCAGTTTGAATTGTTCTTACAATTGCTGCTATGAATGAAGCAACAAAAATCACCAGCACAATCACTGGCAGTAGATCAAAAAATGCCATTTCTGGTATCCAGGGGTGATGTGTTTTCACACCTATCTATGATTTGGCTTTTTCAGGTAACAGTAAGGCCTGGAGCAGTCCCAGTTTGCAAGAGATCTCTCAGGTGTTGCTCACTTTAAAGTCTTTGGAAACGTTGTGGGATGTGCCAGCAGTTACTACATTGGAGAAGAGTCAATGGGTTTAATTTCCTGTTTATCTTTATGGTAATTGTGAGACTGATAAAGGGTCTGGTATTGAATACAGAATTCTTGGATTGTGGATGATCACAGTCAGTGCTCAGAGACTGAATTGAGTCCTGAATGAAGTTCTAGTCTATGACAGAGAGCCAGTGAATGTGGAGATTAAATTATCCCTTGCAGCTGACCTGCAGCCACAACATTCACTTCCTGCATTGTGGGTGTGCTTTACGTAGTTTGGAATACAAACCTTTAACAAGGACATTTAGAAAAGAAAATGGAAACAAGGGAGGGGTGGGGACAAAAGGTAAGGTAACGTGCTCTGCAAAAGGAAATGCATCAGTCCTATTTTGTTTTTAGATTATTTGGGGCTTGAAGCAACCTGGGCTAGACCAGGTGTCCCTGCCCATGGCAGAGTGTTGGAATGAGATGAGCTTTAATGTTCCTTCCAACCCAAACTATTCTGTGATTCTCGGATTCTGTTTAAGCACAGGAACAAATTGTTCAGTGTACCCATATGTTTAATAAACATAAGAAAACATCTAAAGCATTTTCTCCATTGTAGTTTAAACAAAGTCAATAGAGTATTTCTGTTGGGAACAGTTGCAGTTCTATAAGTCAAGTTAACTAAAGTGACTTCATGTTTTTTGAGTATAAAATACTGATTACCTGGCCAGACATCTTCTTCAAACTGGGAGTCTTAAACTCAGGTGCTTTGTGTAGCAGAGTTCAGACTGTGCATTATAGCATTGTAGTGTCAGTATCTTTCTCCTTTGCCAAAACCACACTTCTAGGAAGAATGAAATCTTTGACTGTAATTGAATAAAACAAGTCAGACAAGATGTTGGCTTAAAAGTTTACTGCATATTTTATATGTACTCAGAGAGCAGCATTTGTACTGACAAGTGTCTAGTCCAAACAGCTTAAAATAGGCAGACTGTGCAGGGGCTACTTCAAACAGCACTAAAAGAAATTATTCCTGAAATCTCTTTTACGGTGATCACATAATTGCTTATTAACAAATTGTCCTATATGAACTTCTTAAATGGAATTTAGAAGCATAAAAGACCACAGAAATTTGGCAGTTCATACAGAAACAAAGAAAAATGTTGTTATAAGCTTCTTAGAAAATTCACAATATTTTCAAGGCCCCTTTTCCCAGCTGGAAATGACAACCAGTCACTATTAAATGAGTTTATGATTCCATGGAATCCATCCTTGAGGTGGTACCAGGTCACTGGAACCCCGTTGTCCTCCAGCCTCTTCTTGTACAACAAGCCATCGTCCCGCAGCACGTCGTACTCACAGGTCAGGATGAAAGATTCTGGCAGCTGCTGAATAATTGTGTCTTCAGCCAGCAGTGGGCACAGGGTGGGCTCACAGAATCTCTTCACTGTCTCAAAAACTTCAGTTGTACAGTCAAGTAGCACACGTGGTTTGTAACCTCTGACCTTAAATTCCTCGGGGATGTTGTCTGGACTCACCCACTTCTTATACTTTAATTTAATATCTATAGGAATATGGGAACCTTCCAAAACCTCTTCCAGTTTTGCTGCACTTCCATTTAGATACTGCAGCATGTAGAAAGCAGCACGTTCCCGGAATAGCAGAGGGACTCCTCGGTTTTGTTGGTAGGATGGTAAATTGAAGTCCAGTGCCTGAAGGCCTGGGTAGATGAGGATCTGAGCACGGAGTCTGGGGAGGTCTGACCTGCCTGCCAGGGTCTGGCTCACAGCAGCTGCCAGGTTGCCCCCAGCACTGTCCCCACAGACAGTGACCCGGGCAGGATCCACGCCGTAGTGCTGCAGGTGCTGCAGGAAGTGCAGGCTGGCGCTCAGACAGTCTTCGTACGCAGCGGGGTATTTGTGCTCGGGGGCTAAACGGTACCTGGGACACACACACAAGTGGATGAGAAGGAAATACGAGTTTTAAATGCATTGCTAAAGTCCTGGTTACTGCAGCCAGGATTACCCTGATTTCTACAGAATTTTCATTATCTCCATAGGATTACCATCAATAAGATAGAGGTGGTGCAGATTATTTTTTTAAGATATCATCTGTTTATGATGTCTCTTAGGTCATTAAGAACACAGGAGTACTCAGCTGCCAACTCTATGTAGGTTTTATTGACAATCATTTAGTTACTTTCTGTTTAGTTACTTTCAGTTTCTGATGGGTTGGACACAAATGACAATACTTCTGGTTTATATCTTTGTTACATGAAGTTATGTTACACATCCTCGTAATCTGGACCATTATGTCAGTATTTTGATAATGTATTAGCTTGTCATTCACACTGTGCTTCTCTAAGCAGCAAACAGCCTTTCTGTGAATAAATGTTAAGGAGCTCATATAGCTTATCTCTTTACAATCAGTTTTGAGTTTGGAATTTGAAAATATTGATTCCAAACTTCATTTTCCAACTAGATATCCCAAAGTGTAATTTGTGATGTAATCAGACAGTGAAAACAATCCAAGTGTGTCTTCAGTGTCTTCAAGCAGCAGCAGAATGAAGTTGTAAATCACACACTTGAGAAGTCTCACAGAGACTTTTCTCTGAGGAAGATTGTTGCTATGTCTGGAGGGACAGGAGGTGATATTTACACTAATCTCTCAAAATCAGCATGAGCAAAAACTCACCCCACAGATACAACCACAGATTCACTTTCTCTGGCAATAAAGCGGCACAGCTCTTCGTGGGTCTCTGAAAGAGATTTGGTGGGGTTTGGGTTTAGCTTGGGGTGCATTTTCTCTCCAGAGATGCTATCTATTGGAGAGGTCAAAGAATTGCAAAAAGGAAATGTTCTCTGCTTTTCTCTGCTGCTTCCTACAAAGCTCTTCAGTTCTTTTGTGCCTCCTCATCTTCCTATTTCAGTATTTTCCCCCTTATATCATTGTCCTGTAAGAAAAATCACATGATCCACAGCAGATGCCTTCTTGTGGCAGCAAGAATGATGAGATTGAACCTGTGGTTATACTCAAAGTTTGCAACTGCTACAGATCAAGAAGCAACCAACTTTACTATTTATGAAGTATGTATTTTTTAAAACTGAACTGTTTCTGTTAGATATCTTACCAAGACTTCCAAATACCCATCCTCCTCCATGAAAAAACATAACTCCTCTCCTTTGGCTGGCAGGTGGAGCCTTAGGCTGGTAAATCCTTACAGGCACTTTCTCAAACGACAGATCCTTAATGAAGAGCTTCGGATCCTCCCCCAGAGTCCTTCTGCCTTGCATATACCTCACAAAGTTCACCTGAGTGCAGATGCCAAGGTTTTCCAAAATCCTTCCCTGTTCAAAGGCAGAGAGAACAGAGAGCTCCCTTGAGAGATCCTGTATTTTCCAAAGGAAGGGAACTGTGTGGACAGT